TTCTATGTAATTAGATATCCGGATATGTATAAAATAACAATCAAATCTATAATAATTCAATTACATAGCGATACTTACGTTTGTATAGGTACAAATGGGTAATTTTGAAAATCCTCCTATATAAAATATAAAATGCCCTCTCGGCTCATGTATCAATACATCTGAATATGACGCTCCGCTAGCCCACTACCGTAGAGGCTTCTTCGCTTCGCTCTAGAATAGGAGGAGAAGAAATTTCGAATTGATGAAAGATTTTAGTTTTTGGAGCGAAGCGAAGAAGCCTCCACAGCAGTGGCCTAGCGGAGCGTCACGTTCATCTACAGAAGTTCTGTATACCAGCAAATTTATCAAGGTAAAAGCCTGGTTTATCACCATGAATGGATTCTATACAATATCTACCTAGTAGATGTTAACTTGTTTCTACCGAGTAAATGAGTTGAGACAAGTACATCAAGACCAATATTAGAAAAAATTCGTCCATTCAACCTATCATGAATCGTGATCTTCTATCTACACATAACATTCAACATTAAAACATCATCTCTATTAATGTATAGTTAGCCATATCAAGCCACCCAATTAAACCCCTCTGAACCCAAGGTATATTTAAAGAAAGCTAAAACCACGCTTGTAAAATTATGTCCAAATAAAAAAAACCAGCATGTGTAAACCAAACTTTTACATAACCGCGCAACAAGCCTTTTCTGCCTTTCGCAATATTCTTGGGAGAAATTTTCTTGCCAACTTTTCCAATTCGTCGTTGTCGTTGTTGTTTTGTTGTTCTTGCTGCTGTTGATGTTGTTGTTGACCGCCTTGCTGGTATCCTCCTTGTTGATATCCACTCTGTTGAGGTTGTTGATATCCTTGCTGAGGTTGCTGGTGAGAGGGTTGTTGGTGTCCAGAATGTTGCTGACCACCATGATGTTGCTGTCCTCCATGACTTCCTCCGCTGGGTGGGATAACTGCAGCACCGCCTTGCAGGTTAATATACATCCTTCCCGCGTTCTCTTCCGTCGCATATTGCAAACCCAACTCCCTACAAATCTCTTCCACCTTTGGCTTAATTTTTTGAACATGATCTTTGCTGTGATTTCCCTTTCCAACAATAACATGTAAGTGGGTTTGTCCCTGTTGTCGGGCATATCTTATTCTGTCCTCCAAAATGCGCTCTGCTTCCTCAACATACTGTCCATGCAAATCGATTTCATCGTCTCCAACTCTGCCTTGGGCATTGTTCTCTCGAAATATGTAGTCTGATGCTTGTTTATTGTATGCGTCCATTTGCGCCGCGTGTTTCTTCCCTTCGACACTTAAATCGTGAGCTCTCGCGCCGTCGCCGGATGTGTAGGCTTGACGCGATTGATCGAAACATTGAGAGCGCTTGGCAGCTTCTTTATGAGCGAGATCGCGCAATCGATCATATTCGGCTTCGGCATCATTGGAAGAAGAATGGTTAAAGGCTATTGATTGAATGAGTATGGGACATCAAACTCAAGGCAGAAAGATCAAGAGCTGCGAGAAGCAATCGGTCTCGAGGGATATGTATCTAACCTTTAGAGCCCATTGACTTCATAGCGTAGGAAGACGACATCTTGAATATCTATTGTTGTGCAATTGAAAAGATGTTGAACTTTGAGGAAATGGCTGAAAAGTCAAAAGGTATCTTGGACATCCAAATTCATGAATTGTTTGTACACCCTCGGAAAAAAGGCGGTACTGTACCCAGACCAGCTGAAATATCAAGGCAATTGTCAAGCTAATAAGGTTGTCAACTTTTAAATTACATGCGCTGGGGGAAAGTGGGGAAATCACTTCAACAGCTCAAGGACCCCTCGTATACGGAGTAGACGTCTGTCTGTGTTGTCGATCTCGAGACAGAAATATTTCTAATATATGTGGTTGATAGATCGAACATGGTATATTCGCAATTTGGCACCTCATTCTTCAAACTGAAATCTGGAAAAACTCTTTCCAGAGCAAATTAATAAATATATCTACCTGCCTAGGTAGTATACACCAATTTTTTGGAAGTCAGCTGTTGCAGTACGAATTTCGAGCACATTCATAAAAAAAAAGTTCTAAGCTCACCGGGAGCTCAAGGGACTATATTTTGCAGTCATCTGGTACAATCAATGTCATTCTCAAAACCTGTTCAACTTCATGTATGACATAAGTAAACAAACTGATAAGGTAGAGAAACTATGTTTCAGATTGTACAGCATCTAACAATACTTATATACATGAAGTTGAATCGTATGAGACAGAATAATCTGTACACCGCACTTATTTCATAGAGGCTCTCTCATCCATCTAGGCGCTCCTGGGTAACTCCTCTCTCGATACCTGCACGTCCCAAGCCCTCTCAACCCTAATCTGATCACCAGCCCAGATTTGTTCAGGTTTCCTGACCCTGCTTCCCAATGCACCTGCACCAAAATCTTTTGCCTCATTATTCTCCCGACTTGTAGTTTCATGTAAAACTTCCAATGCTATCATCATAGCTGCCTTTCCATCTGTCTCAGGACTGGTAATCATAAGGTCCTCATCAATGTCATGTCTTTGAGTATAGCTAGTAGAGGGGACGCTGGAGGGAATGTCGCGGCAGATAGGAGTTTTGTATTTCGTCTTCTTGTAACCTTTGTCTTGGAGGAACGAGCCAATTACCGAAGCATTGGATATCAAAGTTGTGAGGAGGATGTCGACTTTGTTCTTTGTTAGCTAGAGAGATTGCATGTTATGGGGTGGTAGAAGAAAGGACCTTACAAGAAGCTAAGAGTGAGCGGATCTGTTGATCACCGTTATGAGATACAACTTTTTTGAGCTGGTTAATCGTTGCGAAAATACAAATAATTGGAAGGGCTAGACGTAGTATCACGCTGAGTTTGAGGTGCGTCGATAAATTTGATTTTAGAATCATGGGAATAGGAAAGACAATGAGAGCCACGTTCGTAGTGATATTGAGAATGCCGGCTGTGAAAAGTTGCGCATATCCTTGTCGGCATCTCGGTCCTGGATCTGGAATAACCTGCCAGTAATGGGTGAAAGGCTGGCACTCAACAATATCACTGATGACTGTAGCTAAGAAGGTCGCCGCGAGCATAATGTGAAGATATCTGAGTAATTTATGGTGTACTCGTTGCCAAATTTGACCAGTCAAGGAACGTAGGAATATGCTGATGCTGTACTTTGTGGCCCAAAGGCTACAATCGTCAGTACGTTTTTCTGAGATGGCAATCGGGCGATGACATACTACACAGCGTACATAATCCTTGAGACCAAAACAAGTTGACTCCCAATTGTTCTCTTTCGCACATCCTCCGACGTCAACCCGAGTGTCAGACTATTATTGGTACCAAACATCAAGATGACATGGACGAAAGCCATTCTCATAAGCAGCGGTATGATGGCCAGCACCATAATGCCGTCTTCGAGATAGATCTTTTCCGTCCGAACATATCTTCCAAAAATTCGAAACAAAATGATGACAACGGCAAAACATGTGCACCACCAGCTAACAATGAATGTAGGTTTAGTATCTATCCAAGCACGTTGTTCGGGCGCCTCTGTGGCATAACGTAGAAGAACTTCCATTGTTCGTGTGGGTGCTAACAGTGAAAAGTGTTAATGGGAAGCATAATGAGATAAGTCTTATGGAAATGCGATTTCGCACATGCGAGCAAGACAATCAAGTCCCTTGGCCGCTGTGTGTGGAAGGAGATGAAAATTCCAAAATTTGGGGACTACTTCCCCGATCTCATGTCAGGCATGAAGCGAGTTGGCAATAAGCTTCTCTTTTAACCGGATATTGAGTAGTTATCAAGCATAACGCGGTCATGAGAAACGGAAACTAAAATCGTTCCTCTGGTGACATGTTCCCCTGCAGACTCGACTTCGAGTTTTGAATTATGGCTACCGAAGAGATGGTCCAACTTCAAGGTTGCTTTCGGACCTTGTGCAAAGCGGGATGAAAAGATAAGAGATATCATGATCCGAACCAACAGTATTCAGAATTGTAAGATTGCAATTTTCATTTGTGTAGACGTTAAAATTGAAAAAATGAAGTTGGAACGAATAAATTCTGTTCTTGGGACGGGAAGTTATCAAGGCTCGGAGTAGTTTTCCTAAAGGAAATGATGAAGTGGATGAAGTACGATATTTTAGCGTACCGGTCGGAAACGTGAAAAGCATTCAACCTATCAATTGACGTTTTTCAAGCCTTTGAGTTTCGGGCTTCCAACGTTGTCTGGTGCACTTGTATTGATAAGGATATCGGAATAACGGCGTAATTAAAGCCTCGAAATGCCATATTCAAAGACTTACCACACTTCTGGGACGACTTCTTTCATTTCTACCACTCTTTGTCTGGATAGCAATATTTTATGTGCTGCACTCTGCTTTCTACAGGCAAATATGCACAAGTTCAGGGGCAATGCAATCAATAGATTGAATTATTCTTCGCTACCAGGCCGTACCTTGCACACTTTCCCAACGGATACGGAGTCTGGTTGGAGGCTTGGTGTACTTCGAAACTTGAACACAAGTACTTTATTCTTCTATCATGAGAGACGATCATCTCCGTGCCGACTACCTTACCTCGAGCTTACACACCTTCGAGGGTAAAACCCTTTTGTGTACAATTCCCGAGATTCGGAAGCCATTCATAATTCAACGCCACGTTACACAGGGGCAACTTCGACCTTGATTAGGACCTATCCGTCTTGTATTCTTCCGTTAATATGCCCATTCCAACATTATCTCTCCAATTGCAAAGTAATTCTATACTGTAAAAGCTTCGAGATAAAAGTCCATCGCCTAATAGTGAAACAGATGCGTGTTTTCTCGGTTGGTATCATCCGACATTCAGGACCGAGGATTCTTGATAACCATCACATCTCATATCATTGAGACTCACGGGCTGCCTCACTGCCCCAGAAAATCCATCATCTTTTCGAGAACCAGATTTATTTACACAACCTGAGGTGTCAAGGGCCTTTTTCATGATGGTCGACCCCGCCATGAAAATGGAGAAAGTTTATGCAACCACAAGTTCGACTATTGTACCTCTTTTAGTGAGACCCAAAGAGACGAGAAAGTTCCCGACTAAAGCTTTTGAGAACTTTCGTAGTGATGCCCAGAAAGATGTAGGACCTACTATTTTTGTTGGTACAAATGGAAGAACGTACAACGACAAAGCTGCGGCTTCAAATATAGCCAACACACACTTGGTCAGAATCTTAAAAGGTCGCCATTTGCAGGTATTGAAAATCCCAAACGAACTTATTTGTGCAAAAAATGACTCTTTGAGATAGATGTTAGCTATTGGCGGGTCCATAGGTTAGTTGTCTCGGGGACGTTTTGAATTCTGGAATGACTAACACGTACAGGCACTGGTTTGTTCGTAAGCTCTGGGGCAGCGTTAGCCACTGGAGGTCCTGGTTCTCTTCTTATTGCATATCTTTTGATGGGCGGGATGTTGTTTTGTACAGTGCAAGCACTAGGAGAGATGGCAGTCACTTTTCCAGTTGCCGGTAATGAAGTAAAGATTATGGTGGCTACGAAATACTAACAAACATCAGGTTCGTTCTCAACATTTGCGACTAGGTTCATAGATCCAGCTTGGGGCTTTGCAACGGGCTGGAACTATGCAATCCAATGCCTCATAATCATGCCAGTAGAGATTATCGCTGCAGCAATCACCCTCGAATTCTGGAGTACATCAATACCAACTTGGGCTAGTATCACAATCTTTCTACTCGCTGTTATCTTCATCAGTCTTTGTGGCATCAAGACCTTTGGTGAAGCAGAGTATGCCTTCTCCATATTGAAAGTCACGGCTATAATCGGCTTCATGTAAGTACTTCTCAGTAGATCTCTCTCAATTGATCTTTCTAACAGGGTTTCGTCAGTATTCTTGGTGCAGTGATAAATTGCACGGGCACTCCTAAAACGGGGTATATAGGGGGTATGTATTGGACCAATCCAGGGGCTTTCAATCACGGTTTCAAAGGATTTTGTAATATTCTCGTTACAGCCGCATTCTCCTTTGCAGGAACAGAATTGGTTGCACTAGCAGCTGCCGAGACCTATAATCCAAGCAAATCTCTACCAACAGCCATTAAGCAGGTCTTTTGGCGTATTGTTTTGGTGTGTATGAGCCACTTCAATAAACAAGATTGTCAAAAATTAACAAACTCACAGTTCTACATCCTAAGTATAACCATCATCGGTCTGCTCGTTCCTTACAACTCTCCCTCTCTCATCTCCACCACAAATGCCACCACCAACAAAGCGTCTCCCTTTATAATCGCCATTCAATCCGCAGGTATCACTGGTCTTGACTCTGCAATGAATGTCGTAATTCTAATCGCCGTTCTCTCTGTCGCTAATTCTTGCGTATTCGGCTCTTCTCGTCTCCTCGCTTCTCTCGCAGCTCAAGGTCAAGCTCCTCGTCCTCTCGCTTACATTGATCGAAAAGGTCGTCCTTTAGTCGCCATTGCTATCGCTTCCGCGTTTGGTCTCCTCGCTTATCTATACGTCTCTCCCGCTGGAAGTTCAGCATTCACGTGGTTACTAGCTCTTTCAGGGCTCTCTTCCCTTTTTACTTGGGGAACCATCTGTTATTCGCACATCCGGTTTCGAAAAGCTTGGGCACAGCAAGGCCACAGTGTTGATTCTCTAATCTACCAATCCCCAGTTGGTACAATCGGGTCGTGGATTGGCCTCGCCATGATCGTATTGGTTCTCATAGCACAGTTTTGGGTAGCGGTTGATCCGATCGGGGACGTACAGACGGGGATTAATACCAAAATTAGTAGCTTTTTTGAAGCATATTTGGCGATGACGGTGGTGCTGATTTTCTATGCCGGCTATAAACTTTGGTATAGAACAAGATGGATGAAGATTGGAGATATTGATTTGAGGACGGGAAGAAATGAAGTGGATGCGGGCATGTTGTATAGAGGAAGTAGGGGGTGGCAGAGGAGGGAAATGGAGATGGAGGAGTGGCCGAGGTGGAAGAGAATTTATAAGTTGCTTTGTTAGCCGGACTATTGGAGATAAGAGAGTTTAAGGAGGTGGATCTGGATACTCATATATCATGCTGAGAGACTTGGGGTGGTTTGTAGTTCTCAAATTTTGTATTTAATATTTACGGTAGAGTACAAACTTTTGTATCGTTAGCCGAAACCAACGAGGAAGATTCTTTTCATTACCTAGGTATTGAAACAAACTTGTGTTGCACATCTGATTTATTATTGTTCTTGGGTCGATCCAACAAGGAAAAAACTTTAAGAGCTTGACTTGGAGATGAACCACCCTCCTCTCTCGAATTGAGACACTTTCGTTTTTGACCAAATCCTTTTTACTTAGTTTCGCGATTGATAGAAACTCAGATGTGCAACAAAAGGTTCCAGGTACTTTTTAGGTCCAAGTCTTTTCGACTATCTGGTAAGTTTTGCGCTTTAAAGAAACCCAGACGTGCAACAAAACGTGCCAAATACTTTCATTTTTGATCAAATCCTTTTTACTAAGATTCGCAGTTGATAGAAAACTCAGATGTGCAACAAGAAATCTCTAATTTCTGTTCTCATGTTTGACAGTCTAAATTTTCAATTTAGAATTTGAACTATAGATGTGCAACAAAACCCACAAATCCGGTGGATGCGCAGCATTCCTACCCTAACGCTAAATTTCTCTTACAAATTCTATAGGTAGATATTAAATGAACAACTTTTACAACCACATCAAGCCTTTTCCGCACTATTCCTCCTCTTTCTCCCGAACAAACTCCCTAGAAAACTTCCTTCACATGTCTGTGCCACCTTTTCATCCCCATTTAATTTAACCACCTCCTCCTCACCTCCCTTAGCAATCCATACATTTCCCAATCCCACACTCGCGAATACTCCCAACCACAAAAAAGCCGAGATGGCATAAAAAGCCAACACTATCCCCTCTTTCGCCATATTTCTCACATAATCCTGTTCAGCCGATCCCAAAGTTGCGATGCCCGAGAAGCTAGCAGTTGTGGTACTGGATACGGATATACCAGCGGAGGAGAGATGGTTATTGAAGATATTGAGCATAACAGTTAGGGCGAGTGTGCCACCGAGCGAAGAAGATAGAGACATCATTGAGACGAGGGGGGCGATTTGCGTAGGATAATAGCCTATCGCGTGGAGGGTGCCGGGCATGAGTCTGATGCCAGTTCCGACACCAGTTAAAACAAGCATACCGTAGATGGTAGGGAGGTGACCCCAAGAAAGAGCTGCAGCAAGGATGGTGATACCGAGAGGTTCGATGATCGCACCCAAGAATAATGGATGCCAAGTTTGGCGGGGAAATACATTGCAGGCGAACATTGCGAGGTATACGCCGCCTGCCAAACCCGGAATGTAGTAAAGTAGATTTTGACCTCCCTTGCTGGAAGAAAATTGTAGTACGAGAGCGAAATATATATCGACAAAATAGAAGACAGCGTACATTGCCATTCCGGTGATAAAATTGATGTACATTAGGAGTCCAGAGTTGCGGCTTAAGATGAGCTTGAATGGAAGCATGGCACGACGATATGGATATCGTACTGCTAGTGCTGAGCCTGGCATCATAAGGTATTCCCAGATGATGAAAAAAATGAGGAGGAGAGAGCCCAGGACGAGAGGAACAATCACCTTGACGTCTGACCATGGGTAGTAAGCTCCTGCCCAGGTTACGGCAAGAATAAAGAGACCCATGCCAAAGAGAAATAAGAATTGTCCTCCAAAGTCGAGTGTTGAGAGTCTTGTCATAAAGGTTTGGTGTCCTTCCATTTCGGTACTATCGTCCGTTCGTCTGATTGCCTGAGGTCCAAGCATTACTGGTCGAAGAAGGAAATGTACACCAACCATACCAACTAGCGAAATGGGAATATTGATGATAAAGCACCATCGCCACGAAACTTGTGTCAATGCTCCTCCAACGATAGGTCCAAATCCATAAGCCAGGCCACCAACAATAGCGAATAAACTATTATTCTCTGAATTTTCTTTGAGGGAAACTTTATCGGCAAGGATAACTTTGGTCAAAATTAGAAGCCCGGAACAGCCGAGTCCCTGTAATGCCCTCCCAAATAGTAGCATGGTGAAAGCAGTCACTGGTGCGCCAGCGCAAAGGGCACTTCCAATCAAGGTAAGAATTAAGGCTGCCTGAAGAGTCGCATATCTGCCGGCTATATCGGCAAGTTGACCCCAGGCTGGTATGAATGTTGTTGCGGTTAAATTGAAGGCTGAGATAATCCAATTAAGTTGTGAAAGTTGGTCTGAATAGCGATCAGTTAAAGATAGTGAAAGAGATGGATCATTTAGTGCTCACTGAAATCTGAAGCAATGAAAGGTAAAGCCCCGGCAATAATGGTGATATCTAGGGCTTGAACCATATATGGTAGCAGAAGTCCAGCAGTTAACCTCCATCTATATCGTCTGGATGCCTTCTTTTCTTGTATACAGAGACTGCATGGTTCCCCGTAAGATATACCAGCTTGTAGCTCACTGGTCCTGCCCTCTCTGCCTTCACTGTTCCTCGCTTGAGATTCGAGAAGAATTGCTGACTCTTGCTCTGTCGTGAAATCTAGGGAACCGTCTCTGTGTTTGCACAGTTTTAAAGGACTTGAAGATTTTGAACTTTCGATCGAGGGTCCTGATGGAGCCGAAGAAGTTCCTCTTGTTGCTTTCCATTTTTTGCACAGATAAGTGGCCATCTCCACGTAAGAAGGTGCGAATAAGCAAACTAGAGAGCTGAAAAGGTCCGAACAGAAGTAACGTAAGACAGCACTGTAAGATGATTGAGGTTGATGTGGTGTACAACAAAATTGTAAAATGGAAACATGACGATTTATGGGAAATAAAAACGACCATCAATGTCAACTTCATGGTGGCCAAACTAGGAAATTGAGAGGCTATGATACCAAGACCGTACAAATAACCCCACCCACCTGAGCCACTTTTGAATATCCACAGGGCTGCGCTTGAACATTTAACTTCATACAATGAAGCAAAGATGCCGAAGGAACTTCATGAAAGCCCAATTAGGAAATTTTGATGTCTCCATATTACTACCATGCCCAAAGAGCCCACTTAGCTAAACCACTTCGACTAGCTGAAGGAGTGAAGTGAAGTGTGCAGCCTAATACAAGGCATAAACCTTATAAATTGGAATACACTACTCTTGGCAATGCCCTCCTTGTGCCAGTGGGAGAAAAATGGAAATATCAAGGAAGATTGTTCATTCGCCCCTGAATATTGTTGTTTTTATTTGGTCGTCAAGTCGTCGGAGCATGCTGATGTGCCTTGTCAGACTAATTTTGTGGTCCCACAAATACAGGCTTAACCAGTTGAAGAACTCCAACAAGGGGTCCATTCAGCCGTTTTCATTGGTCAACTTCCTCATACCCTACAATAGGAAATATGAACGAGAAAAGCTCAACCAATTGAGCTGAATGAGCTATTCACGTGATATGCTTACCCTCTACGCCGTAGACGTCAAACACGACGGACCAGTCCCAACAATATGTTTTGAAGATCTCACATTCATTTTGGAGTTTTGCTACTTTCTTTAGCCATCTTCTTAAGATTGTATCCTTTAGTACACATACTTCTTCCACCCCTTTCGAGGCCACCATTGCGAAGAGTGAAGCGGTCCCCGTTTGATTTCCTCTCATTTGCGTTATCGTGTAGGACATTGCCTATACTATTTACCAAAGCAACCGTTTGCGGCACTTGTCCCCAATATTGTGATCCTGTTTCTGTATATCATTCCCTAACAGGACCGGGAACTCAACAGGGGTCAACGGAGTATCAAGCGCCTGATTCTGCCAGCACCGCAGGTCAACTATGGTTTTTTGTGGTCGACCCTCTAAAGGATGTCATGCATGCCGAGCCAGAAAGACAAAAGTAGGTTGGTTTAAGAAGTAACTTAATCTGACGCACTTTCCGCTTGCCAAGAATCACCTTATGTTCGTATCAGTTGCTGACCAACAAATTATAGTGTGATGCAGTACCCACTGGGTGCACTCAGTGTTCTAATGCGGGTCGAAAATGCCCCGGGTATAGATCCCAAGTTGATGTGATTTTCCGGGAGGAAACTAAAAACGTGATTAAAAAAGCAAAGGTTAAACACGACAAGGTCAAGCAAAAGAGCGCAGAATCCGTTTCTCCCAACTCCAGTACTTCTTGTTCAACCACCCATTCGCCGTATTCAAGTCGAGGAAACTCACCACGCGATATCGTTAAAGCTCCTCAATTCAACCAGGTTATCTCTGTCAATTATCTCAATATAACGCCATCAATTGAAGATAGAGCTACCGCATTCTTTCTATCAAACTATGTGATAGGCGATAGTGGTCCAACTCGAGGACACCTTGATCATCTTTCTGATTTGTACGAATCCGATAGTATAGATGATAATCTTGTCGCTGCTGTCCAAGCAGTGGGCCTGGCCGGTTATGCACACTCGGCGAAAGCTCCCCATCTTATCTATCCAGCACGCGCACAATATGCCAAATCACTTCAGCTTACCAACACTGCCCTTCAATCTCCAACTGCCGTCAAGAGAGACAGTACTTTATTAGCAATTTTGATCCTCGGCATCTTCGAAACTATCACAGGTAGTAATCAAAAGTCGATGAAAGCATGGGCAGAACACATTCATGGTGCCGCGGCAGTTGTCAAGCTTCGAGGCCCGGAAGCTATTAAGACAAGCGGGGGTATACGCTTGTTAGCACAAGTTACTTCGAGCCTGCTGATATCATGCATCCAGAGGAATATCCCACTACCAAAATATATCGTTGAAATTACAGAATTTGCAGAAAAGGATATGACAAATGTTGATCCGGCCTGGATCGCTCAAAGAATAATGATTGACTACACATCTTTCAATGCTAGATATCACGCAGGTTATTATAGTGATGCTCAGGAGCTTCTTGATGATGCCGAGGCCTTGGACGAGAGATTTCTCGCCTTTTTCACAAACATACCGAAAGGGTGGGAATTTGCAATAGTTCAGACGGACAAAGATCCGGGTGTTGTGTTTGATGGCTACTATCACGTATATTACGATCACTGGGTAGCTCAAATCTGGAATGCAATAAGAGAACTCAGAATCTTACTCAATGAAACGATCAGAGAGGTCTTATTGAAAGATTTTACTGCTCTTGTACCATCGTTACTTGGGTCCGAATACGCAGAGCGATTCCAGATCTGCACCAAAATAATCTACCACCTACAGGCAGAGATTCTTGCAAGTGTACCGCAACATATAGGCTACGTTTCGAGGAACAGTGGGCATACACAACTCTGGAGTGGCTTCGAGAAAGATGGGTTTGGAACAGATTTCCCTACCATTAGATTCTCGGGTGGATATTTCATGATTTGGCCACTATTCCTAGTAGGAAATCTTCGCCTTTCGACTCCAGAGGTTCGAGCGTTTTGTGTTAAGAATTTGCGATACATTGGAACACAGATGGGGATCGAACATGCAAATCTGCTGGCTACTATTATGGAAAAAAAGATTCCTGTAACTGTGTGGCATGAGCCGAGACCGCAGCTCTCTAGTAGAATCATGGATGAAGATTTTTCCAATGATCATGAGAACCAAAGTCAGGGAATAGAGTAACACAACACAGTCCCCTGTTTAAGTTGTCAGGGTTTGCTTAATTGAAACCTGTATTTTGATTTCTCAACCGACTTACGACTAGCGGGTAATGGCATGATGGTGATGGCGCTGGCTCTATGAGAAATTTTATCATCTTATTACGTATCGCACGTTCAACAACTCCTCATTAAACCACTATATGATCGAAGTCAGCCAGTTCAAACATAGCAGTACAACGGCCACCGCCAGCAATTACCTCTCCATATTCGGCCATATCTAAAAGATTATGCAAGCGATGTGTTGCTCCACACCGTTTTCTTCGATACGTATCGAAAAGCTCTTACAGAAACAGCATCTTTTGTGATGCGAGACAAATTTGAGATCGTAGCCGACCAGACTTTGCAAAAAGATTTGTCGCATATAATACTATAGGGATAGAGACAGTAGACAGTAGAAAGTAAATTCTAGTTAGAATATCCTATAGAATCGTTCTACTATCCAACAGATATACCCATCCATCTCATGGAATAGGCAGGAAGAGCTATAATCAACCCCACGGTGGAGACGTCCATTGCGCAGCTCTGGAAGCCTTTCTCATACTTAGATTTGTGCCAAAGAAGAATCCAAATTAGATGCCCAAGGAGGACTCAGAAGGATTTCGGGTTTTGTTGCAGGTACGTCATGAATAGGTACCTAGGCAAAGATAGTCGATCAACTAGTCTTTCTGCCACACAGACCAACACGTAACAAAAGGAAAGGTCATACCATAGACTGTGTCAATTTGTGGTGGAATTTGTTATTACGGATAAATTGTGGGACATTGGTGGAATGAACTTAACCTGTAAATTGAGTAAAGCTATTTTCTTTTTAGTTCGACGTGATTCATTATGATTCAATCTTGGTTTGTTCGGAGGATAGTTATCCTGAAAGCTGTCTTGATACTTGCAATATCAATCAAAATTTGTTGTCCATTCGTGAGTTTGTGTCTCTCCATTATCGTGCTCATGTACTGCTTTTTTGAGATATACGCAAGATTATTGTAGAGCTGCTTCTCTTGCTGCCATTTTCTATTCTTAAAGCACGTTTTAATATTCTTCCTATTGTCTATCTGAAAGTCTGGGACACTATTGTGGAATGAGATAACATTAAATGGGAATTCAAGGAATAAGGTTTATTCGGGATGTTATACATTCTAACTACATATTATAACAAGTCGGGTACGGCAAATGATGATACTGGAGAAATGCAACATGGTATACATTCAGATCAGTTCCATTGAAGGGGAGAGTGACATCACCGTCGTACTCAAATAGCTTTCCCAGCAACTCTGTCTCTTCTCGTGTATCAAGGAACACTAAGATGTTCTTGATTCCAGCACCGACCTCCGTATGCTCTGACGATCGAGTTGGTGCAACCAATATTCTTCAGATTGGCATGTTTCCGATTGCCTCAACGATGCCTCCTGGAGACGTAAGCTCAGACCAGTCAGGTTCGTTCCCAACCAGCACATTTGTCACGTCCAAAACAAGTGTGGCAAGATTATCGAAAGCCGCCATCTTGACTCTCATCATGTGCAGCAACCTGCCTGGAGTTGCCACTAGGATATGTGGGTAGGGAGAGACTTGTGAGTTTCTTTGTTCACCCCGTGGGCAGAATCACCAAAACCGTTGGATCCAAGGCTGCAGATCTTGAACCATTGATTTTATTGCTTTCGATGTGTGCAAGTAGTACCTCGTTCACTACAGGCACAGCATACCCCAAAGTTTTCCCTGCAGCTCCAAATAGTTAGTGCCTGACTATTAGCGTCTGGGGTATAGAAGAAAACTCACCAAATAGGGCTTGCAAAAATATGTTTCGCTGGCAGGATGCAAAAGAATTGATAGTGGCCGCCTGAATTGGAGTCGGTGGTTCAATGTCGCTGGACAATCTTAGGGTCTCGATACGCATGCTGCTTTGGGATTTGAGGTCTCCGCCTTCCCCTCTGTTTGAAATATCGCAATCAGTATGTGCAACTTAGATCGAAGATGTCTTTACTTACCCAACTTTGACACGGCGTCTTTCACTATGGAGCCTCTTCCCACAACCTTCTCTGGTTCTTTCGCCGAAGCCATCTTGGATCGCAATTAGAGGTAGCTTGGTATTCAGAATGGAAAGTTTGAATTCTTCATGGAGAGAGAATGGAAGAGTTGAGAGAAAACGTGAAGTATAATAAAAGTTGATGGAGTTGAAAAGGTTGAGAGATAGATAGGAAGGGTGGTAGTGGTAGGAAGAATTAGAAATTGAGAAATCTAGAAATCGAAGTTGAAATATAAAGAGATCAAATGGTAAAGGGTGAAGCGTGCTTTAGTATAAAAATAAATATAAGGTGAAGTTGTTATGATTTGGAGTTTAGCGATCTGCCTTGGATAGGTAGGTATGCGTCCTTTGTTGTCACCTGATATATATCGTTTGTCCCATTTTCGATATCTCCCCAGCAACCACTGAAGACGTCGATTCGGATGATTCTTCAGCGAGGTTTCCACCAACAACACCAAAAGAAAGACCAAGAGACGAAGTCAAACCATTGGAATGTATCTTTTGAGACTTGGTGGAGCCTTACAATTTTCCTGAGAGATAGGTTAGATAGAAAAAGAACCCGCACAAGAAAATGCAGCCGTTTCAATATCAGTCCCATTTCATAGATTTTCGTGCTAGCTTTAAACAGGCTCGGAAACCTCTTACTTGTGCTAACCTTGGAAGCTCTTTGAATTGCCCACACCACTACTTACAGCCAGACCCATATGTGATACACAAGAGATGACTAGCACATGAGTCTCTCGATACCTTCTCATAACCTAGATCCAGTGCCCGATGATCCTCGACATAAGTTTTCAATGCCGCCATAAAGCGAGATCCGCCTTTTGTGATTTTGTTTTCTCGTGCGAGCAAACAACCCTTTATCTTCTTAATAAGGAAATTGAACTAAACGGTGGGGTGTGGGGTCTCAGATGTGCAACATTTTACACTGTATACTTTATCGGAGAAGGGCGGACCATATGGTGGGGCATTGATCTCAAGAATATTCAAATCGTATATGTTGTTTATGGGTGAATGAAGCTTGTGAACGGAGCCCCCGTGATCATGAATGGATATATACTCAATGGACGAGAAAGCTTGAAAGGTAAGAAACATAGAAAGCAACTAGGCCTAGTCCTCCCGGAGTCTCCTTGTTGGAATCGGGTGATCTAGAATGGACCAGGAATATCGTTATGACCAAGCTAACTGGTGGGGTAGAAGCATTCAGACGTGCAACAAATTCGAGGAGGAAAAAGGTATGCACTAAATGATGGGGTTAAGTGTTTCAGATATATGACACGTCAACGGCCCTGTAGATCACTTGCTTGAAGCCACGCAGCAAGGAAGAGCACAGCTACAATTTTGTAATGACTCTGGGATCGGGTCACTGACATGATCTTGACTCGGGGTTGATCCCTCATGCGAAGAACTGTTCCCCTGATAATCTCTCAATAGAACAATGGAATTACAGAGTTCATTTTATCACACCGAGATTCTGCTGCAGCTGCTCCTTGTTGAAGTGGTAAATCGAAAGAAAACATAGGAGCATGTTTGAAGACTCCAGTAGATGGAGTGCTTGCATTTCGCGTTCGGTATCTTAAGAAGGACGCGTGAGCGCCGTCTCGGTTAATCGCCAACGTATAGGAATCGAGTATCTTGGTTATTGTTCACACAGATGTTGAGAGAAAATTTCATTCATTAATATAATAGTATGAAGATCACATCCCATCTCTCAATTCAAATTCTTGGAAGGGTGTTGTGAAATATGGAATCCTTCAGACGAACCAAATAAGTGTAAATGTCTGACATGACAGCAGCCTTTCACCCCGCAGAGTTGAAAAGAAGGAAAAAAGGAATACAATCTATAAGTGATTTGTTCTAATACCTATTTAGATTATTGAACAGTTTCGAACCAAAATTGCTGGATCCAGGTTCTTCCATGTTACTCACCCAGTCTTCAGTCCACTATGACACTTACGAATATTATTTCCAGTCAAAACATTAACGGTATTCCTGATAGCTCAGTTTCACCGGTACAATCAAATTTATCGATTCAATGAGTTCTGCGCCATCAAAGGTGCCATATTATGTGTAGCATTGGCCCTGGAAACTTGGGTATGAATAAACTACTATATTTCACCTACAGAAGTGGAAGATTGTATTTCGTGTGATGAAGATTATTATGTTACGAGAAGTGCGCTTCCTACTGCATCAGTCTTCGTCATTTCAGCGTTCTTAACGGCAACAACCTCTCCAATATCCCGAAGTCATTAGTGTGAATTCAGTTCGTCGCCCGTATATGAACAAAATAAGCGAAATGCTGAAATTCACTCCCGCTCCACGCCGACCACTACCAATACCAAAAAAATTGTTCATAAACAGATCACATTCTTCCATATAGTATCAAAAAATACAAAATAATTCCCACAGATCTGAGAAGCAAAACCTTGCCGCCCCCTCGAGGGGGCGGGAGGAGAAACCCCCGGTGGGGCTTTTTTCCGTTCGTTCGTCGATTCGAGCCAGGCGTTTTACCACTCCACCACCAGAGCGCATTTGACCTGCACAAACAAGCCTGTTTGCTGCCTTTGCGCTCCGGTACTGGGAATTGAGTTATCGGTCCTTATATAGTAGAGTCTGCGTGTTTGGGAGTGTTAAGTAATAAGTGCACGAGACGGTATACTGGCATTACAAGGAGAGTTTTCTATCACGGGTGGATTGATGACTTTTTGAATAAGACTTGCGGTATTAGTTAACACCTCACGTTTATCTGGGGCCGTTTGTAGAAGGGGATATGCGAACAAAAAATTTTTAAGACCTAAATCAATTTCTCTTTCTCCATCGAAGGACCCGCGTGTATAATCAGGCAATCGGCGTCATTTGAATGTTCAACTTTTACCTCTCTCACCTCACCATCAAATTCTACGGAGTTTACAAAAGCTTTGGTGTTATGTTCAAAGCGTTCAAATAATACACAATCCAGAAGATCAAGAACCTTCCCTTCATAAAAGTGTCAAGTGAAGCAAGTGAGCATGATGCGTTAGTGGAGGTACTCTGCCAGACATTAATCTTTGCCACACACGCAACATCTTGAACTGCGTGATCGATTGCTGGATCTAAGCTTCCTTTTCTTAATATATCACGTATTTTGATCTTTTTAGGCTCACACTCGAGACTCCGTCCTCTTACTAGGGCTTGACCTGACTCTCAATTCCGCACACGCATGAAAACGAATGGTGGGGCATCACAAATCAAATCCAACAGCCCAAATCTGTACATTACCATTCGATATAAAATATGTCCTAGTAACAAGCTTAAATAGTAGTGAGGTCCGAAGAAGTAGTTAAGCTTTCTCAATTTTACTTGGCTTGATCACACTTTGGTCTAAAGGGTGGGGTTGAATATGAGATTTGCAACAAAAGATAGGTAGTTACAATATGTCATGTGGTATGTCTCAGAGTTTGATCCTTTCAGATTTGTTACTGATAGACTTGCGTTGTTGGGTTCAGTAATGATAACATGCTCGGTTCTATTCGTTTAGTGAGTTGTACGGAAAATGTCACACAATCAACTAAAATACATACTAGAAGCATTCTTACACTCACAATTAGCATAATTTTTGTTATCCCAAATCATATAATTCGACAAAATATCCAATAACCCTAGCTTTTGGACGCTAAAATGCGACTGAGACAACCTGGGTATCTTCTAGTGATTTCAGCAACTCAACAAATATCTCAATTTATTTTGCGATCTTTTCCACCCATAATCACTAAACGAAATGTTGCACATCTACCACTCTTGAATTACAAGGGGATCCCAATAAGCCTTCGAGTAAATAGAGTTTGAATCTAGCACTTCCTAGCTCTCCGCACTGCTGCAAACGTATTCACTACCCCACAATCATCTAAAGTATTTTAATGACTGATTTAGACCTGTGCACATCTACATCCTCACTCTTACAGGGTTTGTCCTGACAAGTAAGGAAGCCATTCATTCCATCAGGAACTACAAGTAATAGTGTCTCTAGCTCCTGCCACTATAAATAAGCTTTTGGCTGGTTTTACCGATTTTTTTGTCAGGAGAATTCTCTTGCGTATCTAAGCTTTTCATTGTACGGACTCATCCTGACAAGCTCACGGGTATGTTTTTTATATAGATAGATCGGATTAGACTGATTAGGTCCAGATTTAGAGAGTCAAATTCAGCGGGCATGAAGTAATGTTTAGATCCTCACATGCGAAAACTACTAGCAAATACACCTGAGATTGCTGCATCAACTTTTTACTACCAGGCAAATTTTTCCACTATATCTAAAACATTCACTATGATTTTCTCTTATCAGTGTCTCTCAAATTTCCTACGATGTTCGATGCATACTGAAACTGAACTTAGAGTTAACGAGTCTCGAGTTCTGGCTTAAGTTTTCCAGAAAATTAAGTTCCAAAAGCACATGTTCATCGCCATCTGATGATCTTTCATCTACATGAACAGGGTGCCAAATAGTCCGGACTGCCATCCAACAATGAAGATCATTCATTCCCCAAACCAATTAGAACAATTAAACCATTTGAGATATTAAATTTGATTAAAATACTGTTACTCTCAAAGTTTCAATTGCTTTTGATATTTAAATCTTTGTATTGCTGGATTGCAGTTCGGACTATTGGATACCCCTGTATATGAATCTGAAGAACTCGATTCTATATAATAATTGACTAATACTAGCGTAGATATTACTGCTATCTACTACAGAGGATTCACTCAATTTAAGATTCTGCTGGAAAATTGTCTTGTCTTGCTCAACATCAATATATCATCTCTAGTCCTCGCACTGCAATCCTACCGTTTTTCCCGGTTGAAATGGCTCCAAAACAAACATTTTTTCATCGACTCTAGAAGATATTGATCTACGCTCTACACTTGGAAGCTTAATTTGAATTTTCGGCACGAGGCTCAGCTTGGCAGAGGACTATTGCTTAGTTATCTTTGCTGCCAGTAAAGTAAGTCTCTCGGTTGGTTCAAAAAGTTTTCAAGTATCTGGGTAGTTATTCATGGT